TCCCTCCCCGCTCCCCCTCCCTCATGAGCCCTTGATAGTTTATAAATTGGTATTTTGTCATATCTTGCCGTGCTCCATTGTTTAAGATTCCTGACTGCATTGAAGTCTGGAGCAGTCCTAGTCCTATCGGAAAGCAAATCTATACCTAAATCATAGCAAAGCGATCGGAATTTATTCTCTTAGCCTTTTTTTATAGCAACAAACATTAAGATTGCTAATCAAATAATACACCCTAAAATAGAAACTACTATTTCCAATTTTCAGTGGAACGTCCCATGGGATCGAGCTACCTGAGTTCACTAGGTGCTTTGAACCTGGCCCTGGAGAAACTCGGACTGCCTAATAGAGCATTTACATCAGCACTAGAGGGACAATGTCTTGGTCTACATGAATTATGGAACTATCTCTGTTCTTCTGCCAAGCCTGGTGATAGGGCAGGGCTGGGGCACTGGGGCACTAGATCTATCCTACATCTTAGGTTCTAACTGCTGGTAGGAACGTTTAATAAAAAAGAAGGATGTCAAGTCCAGGCTTTACACTGGCAAAAAATTCTTCAAAACAGCTTTTATTAGGTCCGTGCTACACGTGCCCGTAAATCTGTTATCCAGCCTGAGTGAGGGTAACTTAAAACCAACAAATGAAAGCCACCAAACCCATGGCCATCAAGCCCACGTCCACGCAGACGCATCGCCAGCCTGTAGGACAGCATGGAACTGCTCCATAGTGTTCCTCAGGTTGTCATCCGTGTGGCAGCAGGGTGCTACGTCTTTGTCCTGCAGAGTGACGGGTGGGTTCCAACCATCACCTTTTGGATCGGCAGCTTTGTGCTCAACTACTGTGCTACCAAAACTCGTTAAGGGAAACAAGGTGATCATTTTAAAGATGTTTCATTTCATAATGTGTGTTCTTCCATCCCCAGGTAGTGGAATTATTGAGTGAAATTCCTAATTCCCCTGAGGTCCATGAGCTGAGACACATCCTGCAAGCTCTACACTTTAAGGCAAGTGTGGACTGGAATAGAGAACGTGTACCCATGGGGCACACAGAACACGGTTTGGAAGGAGAAATCAATGTGATAGAAAAATGTGTTTTCTGAGCAGAGTTGATTGCAATGCACGGCTACCCCTTTTGTACGTGGGAGTATAGGGCTGCTGGAACGGGCACCATTGACTGCGTGGTTTATGGGGACAGATGTGCATTGCCGCACTGTCCTGGAGGCGCAGTGTCAGAGGCACAGTGAATTCCTGCTGGGACTTGGAAGTGGCAGTCTGTCCCAGGCCTCTCTCCTGGCTTCCATCGCTCCAGGCACCCCTGGCTTGCTGCTGCAGCACTGGGT